CGATTTTATGCCGTCACAGTTAAGCAAAGTTATGCAAAACTTAAAATCGAACGATCGGCTGTTGGCGGTGACGGCGCTGACAGCCATAAAAACGTAAATGAATTGCAAATAATTAAAATGTAAAAAATGCAACGCAAATAAATAACTTAAATAAAGCAACGCGAGCAAGAACATTATCTATGAAAAAAAAAAAACCCAACAAATAAAAATAAAATTTGCAATAAAATCAAATGAATTTTATGCGGATTTTAGTTTTACTTAAAACACAAATGAATAACAACAATAACGAGCCGGCGTTCAGCAATTGTTGCACATTTCATTGAAACCATAAAGCACAGCAATTAATTTCAGTCGCCAAATGCAACACTGCGCTTCGTCTGTCCACTCAACTGCAATTGTAGCAAAAACATGCAACTGTCACTTAGAATTTATCTCTTCGATCGCAATGAACGGAATGACGGCAGGGGGCGTAGGTGTGCGGCTCGCTTTCGGACCATTAACGTAGAGTGGTGTAGTGTGACAGTTGTGTTATCACTTTGTCAGCGAGTGCGACAGAATAACGGTTACATGCCACTACATAGCGCACAACATGGTGCATGCCACACCAAGATGTATGTATGTAAGTAAATAATACTGTTTACGTACTCATGGCGAAGGCGAAGCGGGCTATAGAATAATAAAGTGCATTAAGAAAGAGTAGTTAGAAAACTATCAGGCACAACAACAATAAAATTGTGACGAAAGCACATCGGTGTTCCAACGTAAATCTCTAGAAGTTAATTTTCGCTTGCTTAACGGTTTTGGGTGCGGTTGAATATTATTTAGCTCTTAAAAAAACTTGAGCTTCAAGGTGTGCCTAAAAATAGGCCATTAAACCTTTAACGTGCAAAATGAAATGTGTTGAGTGTGGAATACAAATGTTATTCTAGAGGCATTTTATCTTTTCAGGCATACCTATAACACAGGCCAACAAAAATGGAAAAAAATTTTGGTGCGGCAAATTTTAAAGCTGCTTTTGATAGAAGTTTTTACGTTTATTACGAATCCGTAAGTACATATAAAGTTTCTATCCGGACCAGAGGCGCTCAAATATTCCAAAAAAAACGCGATTTTTTGACACTTCGACCTCGTTTTTCTCAAAATCTGGACCTGATGAAAACTTTACACTTACGGATTCGTAATCAGCACAAAAAAGTCTATCAAAAACAACTCGAACATTTACCGCACCAAAATAAGTGTTGCCCTGTGTTATTACTTTAAGGCCAATATTTCAGTGCATGGTTTAATCTGAATATGCCTTAGACTTAGTTTGAACGCTCCAGGTGGCTAGTTTAAGCTAAGATTGGTCAACCAAATTAGTTTAAACTGACACTGAAAAGCTGGCCCTTAACAATTTTCAGTAGTCGAAATTTTGCTTTAAGATGCAGCAGTGTAGAGTATGCGTTAAACTCTAACGTATATATTAGGGCGGGTCGAAAATCTAATTTTTCTCAAATCCCTTGGTAATAGTGAAAATATATTGTATCATGAAGTCAACAACAAGCCTGCAAAATATTAGTATTTTATTTTAGTTGTAAGAGCCCGCGCATCGACCGCAAAGTGACCCACAGCACACTAGTCGAATAAGACCAATTGTTGTTGAAAATTCTGGGTTCGGCAAAATGGTTTGGTGCATATTATTAAATAATGAATCCGTTTAAGCAAAAGATAAAGCCAAATCTCATTTCTCGCAGCCCTTTAGCTTATCGTTAATCTCAAGATTATCTGTTTTCAATAAAATTTGAATTGTTCTCTTGATAATAGTACTGGATTATAGTCAAAAGATGTAAAGAACAGCTTTAATATTGCTGGAGTGCTGCCATGTCGCTGGTTCCAAATATTCTAATCTTTTTTTAATATTAGCTATAGTTTGCGAATTTTTGCAAATATAGGGACAATTTCGGTAACTCTAATAGAAAAGCCAATATTTTCCATAATCGTGGAAAAATTTTGTTTATGCAAATGGGTATGGAAACACTGAACAGGCACAACCTCTAGAAACACTAATTGGTTTACTTATGTTTATGCATATAATATAAAAATTGCAAATATAAGAAAATAACAAGAAACTTTGTACAACATTTTTTTTATTTTAAAATAATTTGTTTGTAATCTGAACGATTTTAATCATATTATTATCAAAAATCGGTAACATTAAGTCTCGCCTTCAATTTGGTAATTATTAAGTACCGATCGAG